CCAGCAATCGATCCAGGATCCAAGAAGAATATTTTGTCTCTAGAATGTCGAGCAAAATTACGATGCATCACGCAAAGAATCGCGTGTCAAATGATACAATAAAATGGGATGTTTTGATTGGTTAACTCGTGACGCGGACAGACGACGCGACGCGTGACGTACTCAATAGAAATGCACAATTACTGATTACTGATTAGTTACGCGGTTACGCGATACGCGGCAAATACGCTTCATGGGACTCCAACATTAGATTGCATTCACATGTAGCGTAACTTGCGTCAGTCAATGGGTGCATTCAGTACTACAATCGCTCACTGAGCGCTCAGTGAGCGCTTGCATCTTATTGGCATATTCCGTTAGAACTAAAAATATAGACTGAACAGATACAAAAGCTCACTGAGCGCTCAGTGAGCAGTCGTGATACTAAATGCACCCAATCAAATCATCTCAACTAGAGACCTATATATGAGAGAAGCAACATTGGCGTCGCGATTTCTGATTGGTGATATCCCCACTTAATTACAGCAGCCATATTGAGCCTACAGTGGAAAGCTATATATCACATACATCTCTATCTACAGCTAAACAAGGCCCATATGAATTAGACACATACATTATATTTAAAATAGAATAAACTTATAATTTGATTTATATTGTTTTTTCTTTTTGTGGTTTAGTTGTTAAACTACTTAACCTCCTGACGGAGTGTGTTTACAATTCCATTATGAAGTTTGATAGAACTGATCATCTGGAGCGGGCTAAATATGGCGGTGCTGAATATATACTAGAGATGGTAGTGGAGATGAATGTCGCTTCTCTCATATGTAGGACTCTAATCTCAACTAGAATAACGCGTAGTAGCTGATATAATTTGACACGATTTGATTGGTCGATGCAAGTTACGCTTACGTAAGTTACGCTGCATGTGAAAGTATAGTTACTTATAATTACTGTAAGGCGTTGTCTACAATATGCGAAGTAAACTTGGTTTAAGGCCAGAATCAGACTATGCATTGAATATTGAGATTGAAGATTGAAAGATTGAAATTTGACCAATCAAAACAATAGGAGCTAAAATTCCTTTGTCTTTACTGGTCAAATTTTAATCTTCAATCTTCAATTTCAATTTTCAATGCGTAGTCTGATTCCGGCTTAAGATGTAAGAGTAAGAAATTGACCAATCGCAGCCGATTGTGAAAAGAATAATTGACTGTGATTGGTCAATTTCTTACTCTTACATCTTACGCCAAACTTACTCCGCATATTGTAAACGAGCCGTAAGGCGTTGTCTACAATATGCGAAGTAAGCTTGGTTTAAGAAGTAAGAGTAAGAAATTGACTAATTACAGGCGATTGTGAAAAGAATAATCGACTATGATTGATCAATTTCTTAAGGTGAACGCACATAGAAGTAGAAGTAAGCAGTAAGCAGTAAGGACGGAATCCATAGTCCGGACTTATGCGGGGTCTATAATAGAAGTCGTAGCGGTCGTAAGGGCTTAAGTCGTAGAAAATTGACCAATCACAGTTGATTATTCTTCTCATATTCGGCTGTGATTGGTCAATTTTCTATGATTTAAGACCCTACGACTGCTACGACTTCTATTGTAGACCCCGCATTAATCTCAAGCAATATCTTAAGATGCTAATACGGCTCTCTGATTGGTTCATGCACTAGCTTAAGTTAATCTCGAATCTTGAGTAACGTTTATGGATTTCGTCTTATGTGATTAATAGAGTTCTAAATTTATTAGAGAAGCGCAACCGGTGTTACGCATTCTGATTCGCTGTTGCAATCACATGACTTGGCAACCATTTATAGTACTAGGCTGCAGTCCACTTGACGCTACAAACGCTT